AGAAATAAGAATCTTCTGTCAAATATTTTTTAAAAAACGGTGCTCCCTTATCATCTGATGGTTGAACAGTAGCTGGCTCCTTATATTTGTCTTTCTCCCCTTCAATTAAGATTGAAAGAAATTGGCCCAGTTTATACATAATGCTATATTATAGTATGTGTTTAGCTTAGGAAGTCTGTGAACCCATCCAGTATAGTTGTAAACCATAGTGTCTATCTTGGGACAGGTTCACACACTATAGAAAGCCAAAACAAACAAACCACTTTATGGTTAGCATTCAAATATCTGAATGCAGAGGTTGAGTCATAGTTTAACTATAGTTAATTCAACAGACCTCAAATGGCTGTGTTCACCCAACATTATAAGCCAAGAGCAGTCAAGCCACATGATGGTTAGTATGCTGTACAAATATAGCCAATAAGTAGATGGTCAGTTGCAGTTCTGATGCGTTGCTCTGGTTCTTTCTTTGGCCTTTCCATTTTTTTAAATTCATGAACAAACATGAATAATGATAAATATGTCATTTTACCAACAACAGATATTATCCTGCCCTCTTCAACTACTGTTGCCATCATCAGTGTTCACTATATTAACTGAAAAATGATCCACTGGGTAGGCCTTCATTTCTGTCCAAGGATGATGCTGCCATCGCCGCCGCCGCCTCCTCCTCCTCCTCTGAAATATTTACTTTGGACGCATGAGACGGAAAACGGCTGAGAACTTTCTGAGCAGAAGCAGAAGAAGAATATGGAAGTTGAAGTTCAGTGAAGACGTTCTGATGGCAGTGGCTGCATCTCTAATGCCCAGACATGGTTGCCAGCAGCGTGTTTTGTATTCATTTCAGCTGTTCTGTCAGTTGCGCATGTGCCTGGTAGCTAAATATTTTAAGTCATAATCTTGCAAATGTGAAGTCTGCACAATTATTTGTCTGCTCTATACACTATTATGCTTCATGTGCGGGGCTGTCCCCAAAGACATTCAGAAGCTGCAGCTTGTCTAAAACTTGGCATCTAAATGAGTGTTCAGTCTTAGTTTCAGTAACTTCCTCCAATTTGCTGGTTGTAAAAAGTAATGCGGTTATATGCAATCGTGTGTGTGTGTGTGTGTGTGTGTGTGTGTTTTAATTGTGATGTTTGCATAATAACCTTCCATCAAGGAGTTAGTATTTTCATTCCCCCCATTCATTTTATTTTTCCAACAACCCTGACAGGTAGGTTAGAATGAGAGATGTTCATTAAGCTGAAGACACTCAGTGAATTTTGTGTCTGAGCAGGATAGGGATTGTAGTCCAGTAGAGTTTCCAAGGAGTTCGAACTTTTGAAATCAAATGCACTTTAGAGTTGTTATATATATATACACACACACACACACACACACACACAGACACACACACTCATTCAATGATTGAAATTGAAAAGCTGTTGATATCATACTACTGTATAGATTTTGGCCAGTTTAAAACTCCAGCTCTGTATTTGATACCTGAATTCCCTTTGTGCTTAACAGGCTAGCATCTGAGTGGATTGTATAGTTATTTAGCTTCGCAGTTTTGATATGGCTGAAAACCGACACTAGTCATGCAGTCAGTTACGTGATTGCAAAAACAAAAATCTCTAGACTGACATCCCCTATTTAGATGTCAGTAAATGATCAAAGCTGATGTCAAAGAAATGAGACAATAATTCATCAGTGTTATTTCCAGTGGTTCATATTTTAGATATGATGACAGTGAACTTAGGAATAGTGGCGAATATTGACCATAGGCTTTTCTTCATTGTAAGTCTTCACAAGACCATCTTCTAAGTCCTTGCTTTGCTTCCCACCTAATTCCAAGAACTAAAAATGCCAGTTTAGGCCATTTTTTGTCCACCTTCATTTTCCTTGGTCATAATCTGGCAAAATGCTGTACACCACATTAGCTTTTAAGCTGCCCCCCACCCCGGGTTTGGATACTTAGCTCTACTTAGTGGAAATCTTAGTACAGTCAAGTTTAATCTAGAGAAACCATTGCATAGAATCCCAGCATACCTTTTTTCCTTCTACATACATCCAACTTCAGTTTTGCATTAGAACCATAATTCAGAGATGGATCTGCAGCCATTTTTCTGAAAAAGTATCTTCCCCAAAGCATAAAGCTGAAAAAGCTACCTCAATCTGTTTCTCATTAATTATGGCTGCTTGTAGATGAACTACTGAACTTTACAACCTGTGTTCTATTTTTAAAAGCTTTAAAAAAAAGTGTGCAGTTGCAACAGTATCAGTCTTTAGTTGCAATGCGAGTCCCATCTAGTGGTTGGACTACCTTTTTTAATTTCCCTGCACAGAATTTAGTTCCATCGGGTCAGTGGTGGAAACGAGAGAATTTTAAACTCTCAATTTCGTGGTGCCCTCGCTGCTCATATTTCAAAATGAACTTCTGCTCCAGTAATATTGCAGGAGACAAGTGGGGGGTGGGGGGGACGGCAACACGTGCATGTAAGAGAAGAGAGAGGATAAGATTGAATGTGATAAGATTGCCAGTGATTTTGTGGTGTGTGTGCTTATGTGTATGTGTGTGCAGGTGGGGGTATAGATGGGGGAAGAACACATTACAACTTGTTCCCTGGGGATGGCTGGATAGGTGGTTAGAAGGATAGGGAGCCTGGTGATTGGAAAGGAGAAGATTCTGTGAATGTATTCCAAGATCGTCGTGAAGATCATACGTGCTTATGACGTGCACATGGGCATAGCTGCTGAGTATATGAAGCAGGGCCCACGTGCCTGCAAGGGGAGAGTATTTGTATCCTGCTCCCTTTCAGGGTACATATTTTTGAAAACATAACATGCGTACCTTGCTGTAACCAGATTGAATGACTTTAAAGCAACATTTCTGTGAATGAAACCTGCTTGCCTGACAACCGTCAGAAAGAAAGAACCATTTTTGCCACAACTCCCCTTTTTCCCTGCAGTTCCTGGAATGGTGCACTGTGGGATGGGGAGGAGGCAGAGAGAGAGAGAGAAGGGAAACCTGACAGAGTAGCATATGAGTCTGCAAGAGACAGGCAAAATTGTGTTGGCTTAGCTTCTCTGTTACTCTAGACCAGTGTTTCTCAACCTTGCTGGATGGGGAATTCTGGGAATTGAAGTCCACACATCTTCAAGTGGCCAAGTTGAGAAACGCTGCTCTAGACAGTAATGGGTGTGTTTGTGTTAACTTAAAAAATTTTTTTTAAAAGAGGCAACACTCTAACATTGGGTATGCTTATGCCTGTGGTGTTTGGATACACACTGTGGACGAAAGAGCAAGAGCGTCCTCTGGTGGCAGACAGAAAGCAACACAAGAACCCTATGGTGGGGGAAAAAAAGTGAGAAACTAGCAGTTCTCATCACCATGTTTAGCATACAGGGAGAACAGCAATTTGGATAAGCTAGCTGTCCCCTTCAGGTTAAAAAAATGTCTGTCTAATTGAAGCTTGAATACTAAACAATTCTGAAGCTCTTTGAAAGGAGTTGTGAGCCGTACATAGACGGGTGAAATAGTATGAGAACTGAAAGACCGCAGTTTCATAAAACCGGTTGGAAGTTTTTGTCAAGCATATGCTAGGACTAGTCCTTAACTCAAGAGAACAAAGAATCATGACCTATAATAAATAGTTCTTATTTTTATGCAGAAAGGGGTACCTTGTTCTTCCATTCATTGGGGGAGGTACATTTGGATCCCATGGGATTCAAAAGGGGACAGACAGTAAGTCACTAATTGGATGTACTGTATTCAAAACTTTACGTTCTGTGCAGAGAGACATTATGAAACTTGGATACCATCTCCACTAGTAGCATCCCACTGAAAGAAATGAAGATCTGATTCCTACAATGTACTAAGCCATGATTTAGTGAATAAACTACAATTAAATTGGTTTACACAACATGCTAAACCAAAACCTAGAGAATCATATTCTGGCTTTCGGCAATATGTGATTGCAGCAGCTGAAAGTGTCCTGGGATGTCCTAAGATAGCCTAGGTTCAGTCTTGTAAGTGTAGGGGATGTTGTGATGCATCACAATTGCTCAAAAATCATTCCAACATGAATAAACAGGGAGAGGCAGAGGCTGTTATCAACAAACCCATATAATATTTGCAAGGAAGATGTTATTCATGGTTTTTACAGAGAAATTTAATACATACCTACTCTAATTTTGATTTAAGAAAAATTATGCTAACAAGTATTTCTTGGACATTTTATTAGGGAAAGGAAAAATTCTGAGATGTTCTTATTTTACTAAAAAATATCCAGAGATACTAAAATCTTCATGGCTGTCACTTTCCCAAGGTAATTATAAGAGTTTTCTCCCTGTTTCTTCTCTGGAAGATTTGACTCACTGCAGTAAGAATGTCCTTACGCCCCTTCCTGGTTTTACTTTGATCAACCATTTAGTCTTTACACCAGGTCAGAATACTCCTTTACCATTTGTTTCCAAATTTTTCTCCAGGAAGTCAAACAATTGTCTTCAAGAGCAATTGTTTACAAATGTGCTTCCATAAAAATATAGCACCACATCTAGGTGTTTTCTTTTGAGTTGCATTTGGGTATATGTTTATGAAGATTCTTCCAGGTGGAATTGTCTGGAGGTTGAGTCATGACAACTGGACTTCTTTTCTTTTTGGTTAGAGACATTTCGCTACTTGTCCATCTCAAGGACTCTACTAACCACATCTCCTGTTGTCCCTCAATGAGCCTATCATGCTAGTAAGAAACACAGCCACCCTGGAAGACTTTTATGGGGTCCCCCTAACCAACTTTTCCAGACTGAAGAAGCTGCTTGGACAAGTAGTGAAACGTCTCTAACCAAAAAGAAAAGTCCAGTTGCCATGACTCAACCTCCAGACAGTGCATTTGGGTATGTAAGCAGGGCAGTAGGGTTTGGGGCTAAAGACTTAAACAGGTTATGGTTTTGGAAAAGCCAGGATAGACAAGTTGCTATGAACAGGAATTACATACCTTTCATTGTTCTTTCTCCTCTAGAATACTCCAGAAGCATTTATCTACAGTGCCCATCGACCCTGGCTGAAAATGGTGGAATCTGTAGCCTAATACATCTGAAGCCCTCAGTGGAGGAAGGGTGCTTTTAACATGTGTAGAAGATGCTACACAGTTTAATTCATCAGCAGACCCTGTTAGAGGATATGCTCCTGAATAAAGGTAGAATGCTGAAAGAATAGTAAATAATTCAATAGCAGAGCATCCCATTTGCTTAAAAGAAAATCGTAATATAGTTTTCTTGGAAATGGTAATGAATGCTAAGAGAAATTCACTGTATTTGAAGCAAATGCTATGTTTATTAAGAAATGCATAAGGACAAAAAGGCCTCACTTCTGTCTAAACTATACAGGTAGTCCTCACTTAACCACAGTGATTGGGACCAGAATTTCTATCACTAAGTGACACGGTCATAAAGCATGATGTCACGTGACTGCGCCACTTACCGATGGAGATTTCAGCAATTCTGGTTGCCATGGTTAAGCAAATCACCACGGGTTGTTAAGCGAGGAGGTCATGTGGTTGCCATTTGCAACCTCCTGCCAGCTTCCCCATTCAGTTTGCTTATAGGAAGCTGGCAAAGAAGGTTGCAAATGGTGATCACATGACTGTGGGACACTGCAACGTAGTTGTGAGTTGGGCATTGAGTGCTTGGATTGCAGTTGTGACTGCGAGGACACTGCGACCAACCTAAGTATGAAGACTGATCATAAATATCACTTGTTCAGTGCCATCGTAAGTGTAAACTACTTGTCACTGAACAAGTAGTCGTTAAGTGAGGACCACCCATATATGTAAGAGAGAGGGAAGGAGAGGGGAGGTCCCCTTTGTCTCTTAAAAACAGACTCATTTCACTACTAATAGGTCAGGTAAGAAACAGATCCAGGGACATTCCTAGTGGTCAAATAGGCTTATAAATGAGGATGAAGTCTCTGACAGAAAAGGAATTTGTGACAGATCTGAGCTTAGTTTTGTGAGGCAAAAGAAGCTGGGAATAGATGGAAATGCCTTTTCCACACAAAGCTTCTCAAGGCAGGCAGAAGGTAGTGGGAGATTCTGTAAGGCACAGGCCTGGCTATTGGCCAGCAAGAGGAACAACGCAAAGCAAAAAGAAAAGGCAAAGTAAGTGGGTTAAAGGAGACAGTCATATGTTGTAGATAATACTGTACCACCATACAGAATCTTTGCTACTTTTTCAAAGAACCGAAAAGAACCAAAGAATGACTAACAGAGACTAGAAGAAATAACTTAGGCCCAAGAAAGGAGGCAGGACCATGTTTGTCTTTTAAGAACCTGAGTTTTTGACCAGGCAACTGACACAGACTCTCTTCTGTACCTTCATCAGCTTCTCCACTTGTTTCCATGGCATGAACACAAAGCCACAGCAATGACAGCGAAGCACAAGAAACTTCCCTCTGCAGTCATCCACAAACATGTATCCCAGACACAGATCCTCAAGCTTGTTCAAGGATTTTCTTTCACCTCCATGTGATACCCATTTTCCAGAGGAATGTGGGGAGATCTAGGGACTTCCAAACCAGTCAGCTTCTGCCCCAGGCATGTTGGTGAAAATGATCTAATCAAAGAAAAAAGTATATAAGCCTATAGAGGGACAAATCTTGTTGAAGGAAAGCCAGCATGACTTTCTCAAAGGCAAAAGTAAATCCATCCTCATGAAATTTCTGGAGTTCAGAATGTTTACAGGTAGGTGGATGAAGACTTATCCTTTTATAGATTCTAACATGCTTAAACAGGGAAAAAAAGCATAGGAATAAATGGACAGTTTACTCCATAGAGGGAATTTAGAAGTAGAATCCCTCAGGGGCCTGTGCTGGGATTGGTGCATTTTAATTTTTCGTAAATGGTAAGCAATGAGCTTGCCAAGTGCAGAAACTACTGAGAATGGTAGAAACCAAGCATAACTGAAGAGTTCCAGAAGGGTGTCTTTAAACTGGGGTATGCTACTCAGTGGAAGCATCAAGTGATGCACATTGAGGCCAGCTTAACTTCATACATACATGGGGTCTGAGCTATCTAACCAAGAAAGAGATGATGTCAGCTCAGTATACAGCTTGTGTGGCTTCTAGAATTCTAACACATTTCCCATCAGCAGCCATAGGAGGCATCTGTAGTGTGTGTGTGTGTGTGTGTGTGTATGTATGTAAAGGAATGCTTGCATCTGTTTATGTGCATTTCTCTTCTGTTGTGTGTGTGCTGGAAAGCCCGGGGCAAGCTGCATATACACTGCTCAGTCACATAACCAAAGAGGAGGTGGGAGGGGGCTAAGAATGAAAGAATCGGCAGCATTCCAAGCCACTGCCCAACTGCCCATCCCCTAGGGATGCATTGGGGATTTTTTCCTGTCTGGACCTGACCTATTTTCTTTTGCTGGCTTTTCCCCACACCTAAATTGGTTGCTTTCTGTTTTTGGAGCTATCCTTGCAAAATTTATTTCCAAAATTTCATTAGGAAATTTTCATTTTCATAAAAACCCTAATTCTGTGCTAGGAATCCTTAGGAAAGGGGTTGAAAATTAAACTGCCAACACTGTAATGTCTTTATACAAACAGACAATATGTATGTTATCTGGAATACCATGTATAATTCTGGTCACCTTTGAAAGTGAATATAATAGAGCTGGAGAAGCATAGAAGAGAGCAACTGGAATAATAATGGGTCTTTAATGTCTTACCTACAAGAAGAACTATTCTTTTGTAAACTACCATGAATACAACTGGGGATAAGTATATGATCTGTGATTTGATGGTGGCTTCAGAAAGTATCTGAAGGATACTGTCAAAAAAATATTGTAGAGCTGAAGATGCAGAATGACCACAATGGTCCAAGTCCTTTATTTACGTTAAATTTAAATAAGTTTGCATAATAAATGTCCCTGTCCCCCAATCTTGTATCCATGTTTAACTGACTGACAAACTAGGATTTCATTGTGTATCAATTTTATTGGAAACAAAAACTGTTGTTAACAAAGAAAAGTTTACCAATGTAGCTTAAATGAGCAACACAAAGACTGCCAAAGCTGCAGAAAGCAGGGGAGATACAGGGGAGATTTATTTTATATACTATAGCACATCAGTACATTTAAACATTTTTAAGGTTGCTTACAAATATTTCAAATGGATTCCCTCATTTTAACTACATGGAAGCCAGATAATTTAGTTGATCACAAAGTTAAGGATTAGCAAAGTACTACCTATTAACAAAAGTTAAATCATGTTTTGTAGAACTAAGGAAAATGCCACTTCACAATTTAGCATTCATAAATTCACAACACATTAAGCTTTACTTACCTTGACAGACTGAATATTATCTTCCATTATATTTGACAATTTATTGCTTCCAATATCTCATGTACCTCTAACAATTACTGTCATGTACTGGAAGCCATACAGAACAATACTTTTTGCTATTAAAATAAAAACTTGGAGCTTCAGTAAGAGTGGCATATCTTTAAATTTTTAAGGGCATCCTCTACAAAATGACAGCCTTCTCAGAAAATGGATTAAAGATTTTCCTAAACTGCTGCATTGAAGATTCCCGTCTACTTGGAACATTATGAAAAATTCGGTACCAGTCCAGAGCAAACTCAAAGAGGAAACACACTTCTCAACCAAGATCTAACCTATCATTCCAAAATCCATTGCAACTCAACCTGGTAACATTAAACATTTCTGAGGTTTGCTACTTTGATATATAAATACTAGTGTAGAATAAGCAACTAATCATCCAGGATCCAGATACCCTTCTGTGCACTATTAAACAGAACTGCTATGTCAAGCTTAAAACTTCACATTAGTAGTGAACTTGATGGTTTACTGGTTGCTAAGTACAAGACAATCTATGTGCAAAGCACAAAGGACTCTGAAAAGCAGCACCACAGTCTAGGTCTTAAATTCATCAAGTACATCAATGAAGACAACACTCCAATGTGTCCTACTTTAGCCAGCAAGACCTCAGCACAGTGCATAGTACATCTGAGTAATTATAATTTGCCAATTTATTGGTTTTTTTACTGGTTACAATTTACCTAACTACATGCACTCTTCAGACGTCTCTGCTCATTTGAGAATGCCCCCATTCACAACTTATTTAAGCTTGTAGAAAATTTGATTTGGAAATTAAACGTTTACACATTTCTCAAAATATCTTAAGTGCAGCTTTCAGCAGAACTTGACCTAGAGCGAGACCTCTTCTTCGGGGGGGGAGATGGAGAGGAATTCTGTGTGCCAGAGTGGTTTTTTTCAGAGCCTTTTCTTTCAGGCGTACGGCTTCGAGAGCCCCTTTTTTCAGGGGTGCGGCTTCTAGAACGAGACTTGCTGGTTGACTTGGAGGATCTTGCAGATCTTGACTTGCTGCGAGATCTTGAATAACTTCGAGAACGAGATCGGCTCCTAATAAATATTGAGCAGTTAACTTTAATTGTGCATGATATTCTATAATCAGTCTTCATATTCAGCAAATATTTTGTTTGTGTGCAGCTTTGCGTGTTTCTATCAATTATAAAAAACTGAAGATCCTAGACAGTGAAGAACTTTCTTTTCAGTTTGTCTCTTTCTAGTAATGCATTTACAGAAAATCCTGAAAATGCAGATTTCTCTTTTGATTTCTAGTACAGCTTCACTGGGCTTACTGCTTCTTGGAGCGCCAAGGATATATTCCTCAGCTCATAATCATCCAATTTCTCTCTCCTGGTTTATTTCCCAAGAGTTACATTTGGGTTTCAAATGCTCTTTTTGTTTAGCTCAAAAGCTGCACTCAAAATGAATTGTGTTTTGGATGACCCAGGACAGAAATGGTATTTGAAATCACATGTCAACAGGGACTTAGTTTTCTAGACTGACACCTGTTAATGCATTACTTCAGATAAACACTAACCCATATCCAGAACTAATCTGCTATTTCTATACCCAATATAGTGCTTCTGCATCAATTTCCTTTAGCTATTATTTTAGCTGATGGCAAACCCAAGTATCAGCATATAGTACAATATGTCCACTAGCATCTAGCAGAGAAATGATTTTGGAAAGGTTTGTTCTGTAACTGTAACAGAATTCCATAAATCCATTCATTTATCCATTAAGAGTAATAGCTGTCCTCTCTAGTAAGTCCACATGCAACTTCCCAGTAGAAAAATCAAGTAGAAAAATGCAATTTGTTTTTACTGATGCCTCCAGGATGAAAGAACACACTTCTCATTTCTTCCACAATTTAAGAGGAAAGGTCTCCTTCCCTTAAACCTGGGCATTATTTGTCTGCTTGTTTATTTATTTAAAAGATTTGTATGGCTGCCCATCTTAAACAACTCTGGGTGGCTCACAAATAGTTGAAGCAGCAGCAAATTCAGTTGCTTTCATTCTGTTTTATGGGTTGTCTATTTCAGAATTTTTTGAACAATTTGGGGGCCAGACTACATTAACTATTTATGTCTGACATCACTCTCTCTTTCCTGTAGGTACTGCCATACTTGTCTTAGTCATCAATGTACAAATTATGCTGCCTGAACTGTGAAATGGAGCCCCTAGAGGAAACATACAAAATCTGCCACTAATATCAAATGAGAAATGACAGATAATTTATGCTTCAATAGAAAAATCTGGGGCTACAATAATATTGCATCTGCAATATTCCCTGAACTATCACAATAAATATTCCAAATTACAATTTCACTGCCATCCTTATTGTGTTTTTATCTAACAACATACCTGCGTCTTTTGCGATCTTCAATTAGTTTAATTCTGCGCCCATTCAATTCACTGCCATCCAATTTATCCAATGCACTCTTCATGTCACTGGATGATGCAAACTCTACCACTCTGTTGATTCATTAGCAAAATGACAATAGAAATTGTTAGTGGTGACAAAAAAAAATTGAATTTCTTCTTTCACAAAATTATAAATACATTACTGGTTATCTTCCAACACCTATAATCAAGTATCAATATTACAGTGAACTACTGAGACCAAATTCTAAAGGTATTAGAATTCTAGAACATAACAGAGATCTGAAATATTTTCTGTGTCTATTCTTTAGAACTTCTCCATGGAGATTTTGCTATTTCTAGCGAAGAGTATGATATGGTTGTGTAGGAAACAATTTCTAAACAGAGATGAACAGGAGTTGATTGTTGTCTTTACTTCTACTGATTCTGCATATAATAAAAAAGATAACAGACTTATTATCAATTTTGTAGCTAATTACATTTAGAAAAACACCATGATCCCAATAGCTAGGATGCAAACGTGATATAAATAATTCTGTGCCGATTCTAGAATCTGATTTTAACAGCAGCATTTTCTATTATATTCTTGAACAAAATGGACTATCAAAAGCTGTCTGTTACATGGCGGAAAGTCTGCTATCTAAAGCCCCACCCCCTGAGTAGATGCAAAATTTAAACTTACCCTTCATTTGGATTGTTTCTATGGGCATCTACAAAAGTAACTTCCCCAGCCTTCCTCATGAAGTCTTTCAAATCCTGCAGTAAGAGTTATAGTGCAGCTTAGAAAATAAACATAAGATTCAAGATGCATTGTTAAACAGGACTTCATAGTTAACAAACTACAGCAAAATGTCATATACTACAACTATAATGAGAAAATTAAACTAATTGTGCAGCTAAGATATGGCATTATATACCATTTAAAGTATTACAATATGTACTTTAACTATGTAATATATGAATGGTGTTATTAAATGCAAGCATTTGATCAAGCCTGAAATCTCAGTTCACTTGTATATTCAAGGTTTGCCTGGAAACATTCTACCTCTCTTTCTATAAAAATTAAACACAAATGTCTTTATTAAGTTAATGCTAAGATTCTGCCACAACCTGTCAAAAGATAATACTAATTTTTTTATGGCTTTTGTCAGTCCGTGCCACAACCTTAGTGTTATTTTAACAGAGACTTGCATTTAATGTAATTGAGACTGAGTCTATTTTGCAATGCTATGTAACTAAGTGTTAAAGATGTTTTAAAACAAGTTGTTTATGAATTATTTCTTAACTTTTACAAAATGTCCCAATAATAGCTGACATTTTATAGCCAGAGGCTACTTACCACAACATACCACAAGTGGTCAGATGATATAAGCAGGTACCTTAAGCAAAGAGTCGCTTGTCCAATAATTGCCTAGCAGATCAAGAGGAACTCCCTTACATGGGAGGGGTAGAGGAATGGAGCATAGCAATGTGCTTCAGGGGGATGTACCAAAGGCCCTGAAAGCATTGGAAAGTCTCCGGAAGTGGCTTTAGAACCTGAGGTTGACCTGTGCTAGCCAATCGAGCTGTGAGCCAACCAAGGTCTACATCGCCATGATAGGTGTGTCATGGGTACCAAAGGGAAAACTCAGAACAGGCCAAGCCCTAGAAATTCAGCCACTAGGAACCCCAACCTCTTGGGTTCTTTCTCCTCCACACAAGAGAAACGAGGGCTAACCCAAAGCAAGGCTGTTAAAAGAGGTTCAAAATGAACTTGGTTAGAGTATATTTGTGAAAAAAAATATACAAACAAAAAGCCTAAAGCTGAACTAGATTACAGGATGCCTCAAAGTTCTGTTTAGATTTTACAAACTAGCATGTGAATCAAACAGTTCAAACACCTGAGCCTTTATCCTAACACAAAACAAACTTTAAGAGCAGACATTCCTTCATAGCAAGATTCAGTTTTACAATATACTGAATACTCCAGTCAAAATTCTGCATTACTGGTAGTGAAATTTATAATATTTAAATAAGTAGAACTTAGAAATCAAGACAGGAGTAATTAGTATATACTGGATTGAATCCTCTCAATATAAAGATTATAACACATAATGCAATATGATGGTAACAGTAATTCAAACTATTATATCACAGTAAAAAGGTGTATTTAATCAACCCTTGCACAATTTTTAATTCTTTAATTCTGAAATAAGATTGTGCATAGGCACCCATCTATCTATACGTCTAATTATATAAAATTTCAAATTTGATTACCTGCTGTGAAATTTAATTAAGCTTAACGTTAAATTAGCTCTACATACATCAATGGAAACGTAACTGAAATTCACACTGAGTTATTTTTCTCTAGAAATCAAGGAAAACTGAAATAACGCTCTATATTAACATGTTTATATAAAAAATATTTTTAGTTTTCTCAACCTAGGGTTAGGGTTAGGGTTGGTGGAATGTTTAAAGGGGAGGAAAATCAGCTGTATCAGAGCATACACACCCTCAGGAATTACTAGGATCTGGATTTTAAAGGCATATATCAGTGAGACTGACATCTTTAAACACAATAATATGCTGTCACCTTAAAGGTTAGAATCTGTTAAATGCTAGCTAATTCAAGACACATTATTGAATTTGTAAGCTTAAGTAACGTCTTGCCTCAGTCATGTATGCTGACTTCTGTTAGCAAGACTCGAGTACTGGTTCTATGTCCCTTGCTAGTCACATCAAATAAGCAGCTAAGCACCCCTCTCACCCAAATTAAATAGGAAGGAAAGTGATTTCAAGGGACTGTGAAATTTAGCTTATGTCAGATTTACCCTAGGATTTTTCTCTT